TCTGATCTGCAATCCAGCATTTTTATCCATTGCATCCTGGATGAAAGGTAAGATTTAAACCAGGACAAGAGGAGCTCACCGAAACCTGATTTATAGCGAATGTTGATGAGAATTGAATGACCAACTTCATCAAACGCCTTCGAAATATCCGTGAAGATAACATCTACTTGATAATTATTTTCAATGGCATTAAGAATATAATTATTGAAAACAATGCTATTACATATTGAAGAGCGGTTAGGTCGAAAACCATATTGCTCGTTTATAAGTATGAAATTAACGGCTGGTTGTATATTACGCACAACAAGGAGCTCAAAGAGTTTAGCCAGATGGCTTAAAATGGAGATAGGCCTATAATTTCGAATATTGTCCTTGTCACCTGCTTTATGAATTGGAGTAACCGATGTTAATTTCCATATATCAGGGAAAACTCCCTCATCTAGAGATCGACGAAAGATGAGCCAGATGGGAAAGGTGATAAAAGATTTAATTTTGGCAAGGAAAATGCCAGGTAGGCCATCTGGCACAGCATTATGCAAAACCATAATTTCTATACACTATAGTATAGTGCTTATACTATGCCATTTATCTATTCCAGGGATTTGAAAATTCTTCCTAAATGTGTATTGTACACACAACTGACATGGTCAACGCTACTTTGTCCTACTACCCCGCCAAGCTACGACTCGTCCAGCTACAATAATAGGACAGTGTGGTCTTACTAATTTGTTTTACGCCGATGTAATGGTAGTAAGCATTAAAAACGGCGAGGTTACTTGTTTTATCAGCGTATTCTCTGACCATTGTTATGGTGTTCTGGTAGGGGACGGGTCTTGTTTTTACAGTTCTGAGTTATAAACTATTTTATTAGTTTACTTATTTGCAATTTGCTCGATCGGCTACGATTGTGTTGAATGTCCCATTTATAGACTATTTCCAGAAAGTTTACTATATAAAATAAGATATCATTATTGATAACATACTAAATAACCTTAACTGATATAAATTGATTATTTCGAGATACTGCCTTGTCGTATTGTAGTTAAAATTGCTCCGCCGACTTATCATGAATGACTACGATGTATTAAATATTGAACACATAATACAATTTAAGAACCCTATATTTTGGATACTATATAATTATTACCACATTTACAGTACAAGTTTAATTATTCAGTTGAATACTAATTTTTTTAAAAAGAAATTTCTAAATTTTACACGATAAAATGTCCAGGTAAAAATCCTGTGCAATGTATTTTAATTAAGAAGCATGCCAAAATACACATGGTGATAAAAAAAAACATTCCACCTAAGTAGGAGGAATTTAACTTTAAACTTCAATAACCAAACCTATCCAAACCTGGTTATGACTCGTCAAAAGTTTTAGTACATAATTTTCAATTTAAAACCCGAGTGAGCCGTGGAAATTACTCACAATATGTGTAAAAATCTTATTACGGGTTCTACCTGAAATAAAATTTAAAAAGAGCATAACTTATCATGTGCATGAACTTTATTGAGATACGATTAATATTATTTTATATATTTGATATTATCGGTTTATGATAGCTATAATACGATACATAAACACGAGACTGTAAGTTGTTCAATTTTCGCTGAACAACAATATACTATAACTGAATATCTATAATCTATCTCTTCGCTAAACTCGTCTCGGTCACTCTATAGAACTTTTGGCTCCCCTGAAGAAAAGAAAGACTCATTAACCTTAATGCCATAATATTTATATAGTGATGTGTCAATTAGATGGCTGAGCCAATCTTTTACTACGCGTTTCCGGACAACCCCATTAGGTAACTTGAACGGTGAATTTTCTTTTTCTTGATGTGAACGTTGATACTATAATCATCATCCAGATCACGAGGCAGCAGGTTGACCATTGTATTTACTTCTACTGGCACGTTGATTATTTGTCCATGAACCCCGTATTGGTCATTTCCATGACGAAGCCTTCTGATTGTCATAAACGGAAGTCTTGGCGAGACCAATCGCTCGGTGATTAAATCCAAGTCAGGCAGATGTGGTGGTCGCAATGGATACGTAAAACCATTTGACTTAGATAAAGTCGGTATATTGAGTTTTTAAATGTGGCATAATAAGTACTACATACAAGAGATGATTCGATGTTAATACCAGGAAATTCACATAAAAGAATATCTTTTAAACAATGTGGAGGTTTTTTGAAATCGTTGTCATACCACAATCTATCACATACACTACATACAGCACCAAAGTTATTGTTTAAGAACCTTGATTTAAATTGAGCGTGAGCTTTCGAATGTATATAATATTCATCATATGAGACGACAGTGATATATTCTGAAGTTTCAATAGTAGTTCTATCTTCTAATGATTGTTCAAGTTCTGATGAAGTTGATAATATTTATTGAGGCGAATATGGGATATATCTGGAGGATACATTATTGGCAATGTAGTGGAAGTACTAGTAGATGTTACTTGAGAAGTTCTGAAAATAGATTTTTGGCGCTCTTTAAATTCTTTTTGTCTCTTCGCGTTTGTTTTAGGCATAGCTAAAATGTTACAAAAGTTGTTTTTTTGTGTGAAACGGGATCGAAATCCAAGTTATTTATTATCTGTTGGTTATTTATGTAACGATATAGTTTTCCAATGTTTGGTTTTCTAATCAACTTATTTACTTATTGTATAAAATATGAAATTTATACTAAATAATTAAAAAAATATTTTTCTCACTACTCTCTTGAGAATCATGGTGTATGAACACTGCACTTGTAAATGGTACTTGGCACAAGATGGTATAGGCTGGTTCCAGTCTTATTTTTTTGGCCTTATGGCGCTCTTAGTATTTGTTTTGTTGTTCCGCGTATGTGTTAGGCATAGCTTAAATGTTACACAAATATGTTTAAGGTGAATCGGAATCGAACTCCAGTTTATTTATTTTACGTTACGGCCTAAATATATAAATATACCTATTTTTTTTTTTTTTTTTTAATAGTAATGCTATGTAGTTGTTAATTATTTAAATTTAACCACACAAAGAAATAACATGAAAGAAAAGAGAGGGAAAACGAAAAAAAAGTTTTCGGATTAAACGGATTAGAAGTCCGGTCCGTGAGCGTCTCTTACTATACTGCGTTACGCACTTTTCGATGCATCTAATTTAGTTAAATGAATACAATTTTATTGCGCGCTCCAGTGTGTTCTTTATCTCGATGTTTAAGTTAACACTTGTCTTGTTAAGTGATGACAGTATAAATAAAAAAATTGTATTGACATAGATTGAAGCCCGTCATATGAAAAATACAGAGGTACCGTCAAAATTGGTTCAACGTAATTTTTTAGTATATTTTACATTGTCATTTCTTCACAGCCTGTCACGAATTAATCCCATCTGTCACATCAATATCGAGGACAATATTATTGCATTTTTTAAGGACCACTTTAATATATATAGGGTGTTCCACAATGATTCGACAAATTAAATAACTTTTGTTCTAGTGAATATTTTTAAGATTTTTTTTTAAAAATTAATTTATACTCATTTGCACTATAAGCACCACGTTTTTTTATTGCACTATCTAAAACATTGATTGAAACATGTGGGTATAGGTAATCAAATATAATTTATTTTGAATTATTAAAATATATTTAATCTTATACAAGTTCGTAAATCGATATTTAACATCTAATAAAATTATATGCAAATTATTCATAAATGTAAAAATTGTTAAAAAACTCAACAATAAGTATTTGTTAAGTATTGCATTTTATACTAGAATTCCGCTGTATGTAAATGTATATATATATATACACATATAATATATATTATATATATATAGAGGTCCATCCGAATTAAAACACTAATATGAATACTATATTGTACTAGTCCTTTCGGATAAAATCACTTAAAAAACAACGCTTTGATGCTTGTTTGTAAATACAGCACCTCAATTTAATACTTCTTAACTATGCTGGTTTTTACACTGTGCTTGGTTTGGATTGGCTTGAATATACTAACTACTGATTTGCATCGAAGCGTTTATTCGGAAGTGATTTTATCACTTTAAGATTAAGAAATTCCTGTAAACCTGTGACCTCCACGTCTCCACTATGCCCCGACCCGAATATTTTTTAATTTATTTATTCGTATGGTATTAACCAAGTAGCAACAAAAAAATATATAACATAATAGAACATTTACAAAATAAGTAATAATTCAAAAACATGAGTTAAATTGTAGTAGTGATGAGAACCCATAATCATTAAGATAACCTGTTATCTTGTAAATAAAGTCTTGCTTCTGATACAGCAGATTCTGAACGGATTACTAATTGTAAAATACTTAACCTTGGCTGTGTGAGAAGAAAGTTCTTGAATATAATTAAAACGAGTTATTTTTTAATCATCGGTACTAACCCTTACATTGACCTAACCTTGTAATCTATTATTATTTGCATTGTAATCTAATGGCATAACTGTGTGTGAATCCACTATTTCAGTAATTATCGGTATAATTACGACTGTTTTATTTGAAATCTGAATTTTGATTAATTCGTCAACCATTTCAATTATTTCAATTTTAAATTATTGTCTTATAAAGCTTGTATCGTATATAATTCAACAGTGCTTGATTTTTTTTTTTTCAATATTTGTAAGAGTCCTTTCTGGTGGTTTTTATTTTTTAACATTTTTATTAAAATATGTTTGTAAATTGGGAAAAATACAAGGTATAGCCATTGGATTTAAATTTCCTTTTTAAGATCATACAATAATCATACATGAGTAATATAGTAATTTGATTTCTTGTAATTTCCTCCTAACCTGGTAAAAATATTATAATTATTATAATAGAATATAACAAATATACATTTTGTAAGTGTGATTTTATTTTTGAAACAATATAAGTAACTTACAATGTATGTTGTTTAATAGAGATTTTATTTTTATAAAAAATATTTTATATATTTCTGAATATTTAGATTCTCTTAAGGATAGATAATATTCACAAGTATCAATTTTATGGAAGTATCTAGGTGAAATGCTAATGGGCCAAAACTAATTTCAGGTATAATAGTTGTTAAATGTTACTAAGTTTTTAGTTTTCTAAGTTTTATTAGTGAAATGTGTTTTCACCCATTTAAGCATATTTAACACACTCTTGGGCTTCAGTAAACGGTGTTGAGCGAAGGTGTCAAAATCACCAGTTTCAGCTACGCGGAATGTAACAGCCGTGTCTGCCAATGCCTATACGTGAATACACAATGATGACTTAGTTATAATAAAATTATTTTAAAAATTGTGAATTACCTTCATAGCGCATTCGTCATTCACATCATCTCCAACATAAATTGTAGGAATTTCCCTCCAATTATTTGGGAAGAATTTGCTTAAAATAAGTAAAGATGCATCCCCTTTGTCCCAATCTACATTACTAGGAATTATTTCAATAGCGCAATGAGCATTACCAGCTTTAAACCCAGCGGCTAAAATGAGAGACCGAGCACTGTGCACCAGTTCAGCACGTAAACCGTCAGGTACAGCACGGTAATGGTAGGTCGCCGTACATCCTTTGTCTTCCATCTTAGCACCATCTTTGCAAACCTAAAAAATAAAAAATAAATATTTGCATTGGCTATCTAGGAATACCGTAAAGTGGCAACAAAAAAAAAAATTATACAACTTTCAATGCTTTCTTAGCTACATATTGTGAACTATGAAATGCAGTGTTTGTTGTAATGAACGGCATGTCATAAATACCTCGTTTTTGAGAGTTTTTATCAATTTTTTTAATTTTCCTTTAACCGCTGCGGATATTGGATATTTAAATTCGCCACCATCAGGAAAACTAATGTCAAGGCCAGTGTTACCAGCATAAGTCAAACCTTCGACATTGACCTAAAATGATTTAAATTTTTTGAATGACATCTTATCTAACGCAAAATACACAATTTTATTAACGAACCATATTTTTAAGATCACTTAATCCTCGTCCCGAAATTATTGCTATTTTCACATTTGGCATTCCGGCCAATGTTTCTAAAACTTTTATAGTGTCCTTGGGTATTGTAGCCAATTCAGGACTTGCAACGATTGGAGTTAATGTTCCGTCGTAGTCCAAAAACAATACTATCTTATTTCGGTCTCCAATGTAGCTAACAATTCCCATGTGAATTAAAACATATTGTAATAGTTAAGATGTACAAATATTTACCCGGATAAGCAATTATTGAAGTTGGTTACGACTGATGGTCGCCCTGTAGTTGGCTCAGCGTCTGCTTTTTTAACTATAAATATGCCAATAAGTAGTCTGCATTACTTACAATATTATATTATTATATTTTTAATACTTCCGGGTTTTTATGGACATATATTATATATTATATAGTATTAAAGCTGGATCTAATATCATTACTTTATATTGTATAGCTGATTATACAATAAAAGTAGCGATAAGAACAGACGATTTAAAGCAACCTAACCCTGTGAGTAAATCGGAACAAATAAAACATTTAGCTTTTTATAGAAAAACAAAAGACGTTTCAAATATCAAACTCTAGAAAAGCCATATGATAGAGTTCCCAGAGAAGTTTTGAGGTGGATGTTAAGGAAGAAAGGAGTTCCGACGGTGTATGCGAAAGTAATAGAGGAAATGTATGAAGAGGCATGTACAAGAGTGAAGAGTGTGTGTGGAGAAATTGAAGAGTTTAGTGTAAGAGTAGGTGAACAAAATAAATTACAACTTATTAATTAGAATACAACATATCCATAGCGCTGTAATTTGGATTAGATTACATTGAACAAAATAAATAATAAACAAAGTAACAAAAATATTGTACTTCAACCAAAAATAATAATAATAATACAGATCTGTACTGCACTATCTCAAAGCTTAACCGACGACACGACAAAAAACAACCACGCGAACAACCAATGGTGGATTCGCCTTTTAGTGTTTTTGTGCTGCGACAAATAACAACGTCAACGTCGACAACGTGACTATCGCGTCTAACTACGATCCGACGACAACACAACAATGCGAACCGGATGGGACCCGTTATCAAAATCTATCCGGTTGCGCCGTTGAAAAAATGGCGGCGGACATACAAATTATAACTGAAACATTTTTCAGCCGAGTCTGCAACCACGATAGAACATTTTAGTGCCTCGTAGAAGTACCGAATACATTTCCGGATAAATTAGGTTAGGTTAGGTTAGCGAGTCACACAAGTCGAAAGGTTACAAAAAAGTATAATTGACGAAAGACAAAGTTACTCAGCATTACTACGCCTAGTATCTAAGGTGGCTAGTGTATAAAACATATCAAGTTTCTGGAAATAATAATTGTAGTGTTTAATATCTGGCTTAAAACAATTCCTAGAGAATTTGGGCCCTTAAACTATTCTGAATTTATCATTTAGTTCTAATTTGAACGTTGAACGTACAACATATCTCTTATCTCTTACCCCTATCTCCCACCCCTATAGCCTACCCCCTATCTTCGACCCCTATCGCCCACCCCTATTTCCCACCCTATATCCTATCCTATATTCTACCCTATATTCTATATCCTATATTTTCATGTCTTAGCTCTGGCACATAACCCTGGCAAATACCCGTAAAAAGCGTTACCATAAAAGCGTTACCACACGGAGATGAGGTTAGGGGTGGAAATAGGGGGTAGGACATAAGGGTGAGAATTAGCCGGTACATAACCGAAAAAAACTGTTACCAAAAAAAGCGTTACGCTGTTATCTGATATGAGATAAAATAAGATATGTTGTACGTTCAACGTTCAAAATAGAATTAAATAAAAAATTCAAAATAGTTTAATTCTCTAGGGTAAGACAGGTAATGCAGACGGCTGATGATGAAGTGTGTGAGGTTGGTAGGTTTAAGTACTTAGGATCGGTGGTACAGAAAAATGGTGGGTACGAGTAGGATGCGAAAAATAGAATAAATTGTGGATGAATGAAGTGGAGGGGAGCATCGGGTGTTTTGTGTGACAGAAAGATGCCTATAAGATTTAAAGGTAAATTTTATAGGTCTGTAGTGAGGCCAGCAATGTTATATGGGTCGGAATGTGGAGGTGTAGGACTAGGGTGGGCGACTCCATGTAGTTGGGAGTGTAAGTCGAAGATAAAAAAGAAGAAGAAGGAATATCAAATATCTAGATCTAGAAAATTATATCTTCCAGAAAGTGAAAAATTTCAAATTTGGGAGTGAATATAAATCAACAATATAATATGCATATCACTGAAATGAAATGATATTGAGGAAATCTGCCTCATACAATGGTTATTATGCGTTAAACAAATTATTTAAAGTAAATCTTCTGAAAAACGATGAAAAGAGCGCCTGCCAAAGGGTTAAAATTTGTGTGATTTGATAGATTTATATATGTCAACGATGTATTTTTATATGATATAAAATATAATATAAACAAAATGCACAGTAAGACTAGTTAAAAACATTTAGCTCATAAGACTTAGTGTCTAAATATAATTTAAAATAAAAAAGTCATTACAATGGGGCTGGGGCATAGTGGGGACGGAGAAGTCACAAGTCTAGGGGTGCTGAAAGTGATGTGAAGAATTATTCTCAAATAAACGCTACGTTGTGTATCTGGTTTATACTGTGCTGTTTGTTTGTAATTTTCCACTTTGATCAAATGAAAAAAAAACATTGATGAGGAAGTATTTAGATACGATTTGGGAATCTGAATATTTTAAGATTTTATTGATTTGAATCGGGTACTAATAATTGATGGGGGGAGGGGAGAGGGCGTCTAAGAAAAAATATTTTAGTCACATTCTACTCTACATAATAAAAAATGTTTTGATCATTTTTTTTATCACTAACTTTTGCCCCAAAAATAGAGGTTTTTTAATTAAAAAAAAAAAGAAGTTTTTGACCAGTTTTAGAAAATTAGAGACTTAAATCAAATCTCTTCGTCTAATAACGAGAGTGGACCGAGATTTATTTCAATTTTTTTTTAATAAAGAAAATTTTTCCCGGATGGTCACCCATCCTGGATCAAGCAGCAACGGAAACAGCTTAACCTCAGATGCCACGTGGCAGCTGAGGTGTTCACTGCGTCCTGTTATTAAACGAAAAGATTTCACTTTAGTCTCTAATTTTATGATAAAAATTTAAAAAATTTAAAACTGGTCGAAATCTATTATTTCTGGAAGAAGATCTTTAAAAACCTCTACTTTTGGGGCAAAAATAAGTGATAACAATTTCAAAAAAATAAAGGTTTTATATTAGACCAAAGAATATCAAAAAAAAAATTTCAAAAAAATTTGAGGAGGTCAGGCCGATGACCGCGTGGTTTGACTCGGAATGCCCCATTTATATTTATTATACAGGGTCATCATTTTATCGTTTACCCCTCAATATTTCATAGGGTTTAATTAGACCTGTATAATAAGATATCTAAAACAATAACATGTACCATACATATTATACCATTACAATGTACATTATTACGTGCTCACCTGCTTTACCTTTACCTATCCCTTTATTGCTACTGCTACTGTCATCAACAACTAGAAAAAAAAAATGTTATTTAAAAAGTAGGTCCACGTGGCAGCTGAGGTGTTTACTGCGTCCACACTATGCTCCTGTATTATTTTTATGTTATTCGTAAGGAACATATTTGTTCACTTTTTACTCCCAAAATATGCAAAAAAAAATTTACCAAGACATGTTTAATTTTTTTTTTAAATAAGAAAACTGAAATAAAAGTTAAAAATCATACAGGGGTATAGTGTAGACGCAGTGAACACCTCTGCTGCCACGCGGCATCTAAAGATAAGCTGTGTCCGTTGCTGCTTGATCCAGGAAGGGTGACCATCCGGGAAAATTTTCTTTATTAAAAAAATACGAAAATTATTATTAGACGAAAAGATTTGATTTAAGTCTCTAATTTTATGAAAAATTTAAAAAATTAAAAACTGGTCTAAAATCTACTTTTTTTTTTTGAAAAATACCTTTAAAAACCTCTACTTTTGGGGCAAAAATTAGTGATAACAATTTCAAAAAAATAAAGGTCTTAAATTAGACCGAAAGAAGTTCAAATAGTAATACGTGCTCACCTGCTTTACGTTTACCTTTATCTTGACTGGTACTGCCATTAACAACTAAAAAAAAATGATATTTTAAAGGTAGGTCCCTTATGTCATAAGTCGCTTTTTCTGATAAAACATATCTAATTTGTTCATACACAAAGTTTACATAATATTATGAAAAGCAAATCACACACAATAACAATGTGAAAGACAAATAAAATTATACGTTTATTACCCGATAACGATATAATGAAAATCGCTATTATAACTGAAATACAAATTGATTTAGAAAATGCCATCATATATTTTGCTTATTCTGAGAGTCAGATTGTGGTGTCAACTGTTCAGTTATCTAAAAAGTAGAAGAGTAAAACTGTGGATTGATACACTTCTATTTATATAAACTATGTGAATACGATACAGCCAACGCAATGGCAAGTTTTTGCCTCACAAGGGCAAAAACATGTTGTTTTAACAACCTATTTATTTGTTCAAACAACATTAAAGGTTAAAAAGTAAGACGGAAGATGTCTTATGTGTATTCAACATAAAATATATATTTTATATATCGATACCATTAATTTGTATACTACTCTCATACACAGAAAAAATATATAATTTGTCCAATTTTAACTGTATTAATGTAGAGACAAGGTTAATTTTATAGTTGGCCTAATTAAGTGTTTTGTTAGAACATTTTGTTAGTTAGGTATTTGGACTGGAAACATATTGAGCCCCTATAATATGGGTATATTAAGTAGGATTAAATTTTTAATTAGTCAGTCCATCTAGAAATGTATTGTGCCCTCATATTCACCATAGTTTTAGTTGGATCAACTTTTTATTTTTTAAAGAGTAACTTATTCACCTTTATTTAAAGGTTAAACAATATATTTAAACATTTTGACTTATTTTAATTTAAAAATATCAGGAATATTTAAAATATTCTACAATCATTTCATGCAACAATAACCAAAATTGTTTACTGCGAACGAAATGTTTTTTTAGGCTTCCGTGTTTTTTAAAAACATGATATTATGTGCTGTTTTTTCCAAATAATATTGCTATTTGCGTCATACTTAAAAAATCTGTTTCTATATAGTTTGAATAACATTTGTTAAATAATGAATAGTATATTTAAATGAATATTTTTTTGACACATGAGTTTGCAAATTTAGTAATTGTAAACGTTTTTAAAAAGGAATACTCAAAAT